GGAATATAGAAAGAAGACTGTATTAAAGTTATCTATTTCAAATCTAATTTATACCATGTATGTATTCACAAATGATTGGTTGAACTATATAGAAAATAAAAATGCATTATTCTTATAAGAAATGGAACATTCCTGATTTAAAAAATCATAGTGAATATTAAAATACTTCTAATTTAAATGCAAATTTTTGTAAACTTTCTGCAAAATATTTAAATGTATAACTAATGTTTTAAAAATGAATACATGGGTATCATATATGTCATTTGGGTGACGGATACCCTGAAAGCCCTGACTTGACCACTACTCAATCTATGCATGTAATACAATTGTACTTGTACCCCGCGAAATTTACAAAAATTAAAAAATGAATACATCTTGTCATCCCAATTTTACATCAAAAAACCTACCTTAAAGTAATAATTGCCAAAAAAATTATATATGAATGACAGTTTATTCCAGGTTATTTATAAATGCAACAAAATAAAAGAACCCATATGAGGAATGCTACAGTCATTATTAAATTAGTTCTGCTGCATCTATAAAATAAAATTAGTTCAATATTATGTTTTAAAATACTTGAAGATGACTTTTAATTACTTGAAGAAATACTTACAAATGTAATGCTAGTTGAAATGATGTACATAACAAATAAAAATATAAAACTTGTAATTTTTATTACAGGGTTATATATGTGTTCATAAGCAGATGTATATACATGACTGAAATTAAGTAAATCAAAATGTACTTAGCAGTGATTATAGATGATTTTTATTATTTCTAGTTATCTAAAACCAAAATTATATAGACCTTAAATAATGTATGTATTGGATTTTATTAACAGGTAAAATTTACACATCAACTTTAATTTGTTTAATCACAAAGTTCACCACAATTATTTCAACCTCTTTTTTTTTTTTTTTTTTTTTTTTGAGACAGAGTCTCGGTATTGTTGCCCAGGCTGGAGTACAATGATTCCATCTCGGGTTACTGCAACCTCTGCCTCCCAGGTTCAAGTGATTCTCCTGTCTCCACTCCCCGAGTGGGATTACAGGCATGCATCACCATGCCCAGGTAATTTTTTGTATTTTTAGTAGAGATGGGATTTTACTGTGTTGGCCAGTCTGGTGTTGAACTCCTGACCTCAGGCAATTCGCCTGCCTCAGCCTCCCAAAGTGTTGGGAATACAGGCATAAGCCACCACACTTGGCCTAAACTATCATTGTTAAACAGATTTTAAACCTGTTTGAATATGATTTTGTTTGGGAAATATTTTTCCAAATGCATATATGTGTGTATACATATACACACACACACACACACACACACACACACATATATATACATATATATATATATATATATATATATATATATACACACATGTATATATTATCTTAAGGAACTTTGTTAGTCATCTAACAAAGTGTGTTTTATAACAAAGAAAACATTTTCTCAAAACACAGGATTGATTTGCTTCAATTCTGTTTTTCTCTCTTTTTCAAGTGTATGTGCACATTCTCTTGCTATTTATTTCCTTTTTCTTCATCTCCTTAGAAGAATATTTAATATTTTGTATTTATTTAATGAGATAATATTATATACAATATTTTCCAGTAACTGAAAAATGACTCTTGTGAAATCTGTACCTGTCATAGTATCTCTGTCCTTGTAGTCTACAATAATTTGACTCTTTATTTCTGAGGATTTAATTCAGCTAGTCTTCAACATGCGGCAACAAACTTGACTAAGTAGTTAGTTTGCAAATGCCCTAAAGAAACATAATTGTAGTGATAACTCTATTTGAACAGGACTCTCAGATATTTATGGAAAGACACCATGGAGTGTCCTGCCAATTACTTGCAAGATCTGGCATCTCTGACAAGTTTCTATCCAACAGAAGCAATCCCCTTACATCAGAGAAGGGGTTAAATAAACTAAATTTTTCAAAACATTTTCCTGGAAGTTCTAGTTGGTATCTAGGAGTGAAGAAAGAACAAAATGTGTTCTTAGACTTCTTTTGTTGGATCAAAATGCCACAGTAGAGTTGTCTCCTCTGGTAAAGGTGAAGCTTTCCTTGAAGAGTAAAGGGGCAGCCCTGTCTTTGATTAAGATGCTTTCAAACTCACACCTTTTGTTCCATTTATTCCCCTGGATTTTACAAGGTGAAGATACATGAAGTACAATGTTTTTACTGAGGCTCTTGCCTTTAAATCCTTGAAATTAGATGAACTGACATGAAAACACATTGAGGATGCATACACAAAATTCCGGCGATGCACTAAAAATTTGTGATGTAGCTGGTAAAGCAGAAATATGAGAGAAAAAGATGAAAAATTGCTAAAGAGATAACTTTGGGTCTCAAGCTTTAAAAACTGAATGTGATAAAGTCTGTCAAATATTGCACGTGGGTGGCTCCTCCTCCCCCTCTCTACTGAAGGAGAGATTAATCCCTCAAAGAGAACATTGCCGACACTTCAAAAATCCAATTTGTGAACAATGTTTGAGTGTTTGAGAATATCCATTTATAATCTTAACAACCTAGTCACACTAAGCTGAGAGGAAACCGTCATTCATTTTCAAATATCAGAGGACGTCATACCTTGAGGAGAAAATTAACATCAGAAAAAAAGAAAAAAGTTATGAAACAATGAAGAAAGGACAGCAAAAGATGTAGGTGCTTCTAGCCCGAGAGACAATAATGTTTAGCTTTCTATCACTGAGACACACACTTTGGGTTTAATCTTTTGGTTGGAAGATGCAATAATTACTTTTTCATATTCCTTATTAGACACTTAACGATGTAGAGAAGACCCGCTTTAATAAGGATGAAAGTGACAGGAGGAAAGCCTTAAAAGGAAAATTATGAGTATGTTTCAAATTTAAAGTATAATTCTCACATATTAAAATGCATTTTCTCAAAATATAAAATTAAAATAGTTGAATCTGGGACACCTTTTTAAATGACCATTAATGCCACAAAGTTTTTGTTTCCTCATCTGTAAAATGATAACTATTATCATAGCTGCTATGAAGGTTAATGAGAAAAATCATACAAGTTGTAGTAGAGTTTCAGATACAGAATAGGTATAAATGTCAGCTACTCTGCTACTAGTACTTCAACAACTGCCATGATTATTCAACTGTTACCAATATTAATATTAATAATAATATTTTCTTTTATTTGTACTTACTGACAGTTTTTATATATTCTATTAACACAACCACCCATTTGCTTGCTAACTTGCTCATAAGAGCCTAAATAAATGACAGATATTTTAAACTATTCATCCTTGTTTTTCCTTAAATTGGCTGCAATATCTTGTATCACAAAAATCTCCTAAGAAATGCAACTGGTCACAGTGGCTCATGCCTGTAATCCCAGCACTTTGGGAGGCTGAGACAGGTGGATCACAGAGTCAAGAGATTGAGACCATCCTGGCAAATATGATGAAACCCTGTCTCTACTAAAAAACAAATACAAAAATTAGCTAAATGTGGTGGCGCATGCCTGTAATCCCAGCTATTCTGGAGGCTGAGGCAGGAGAATTATTGCAGTGAGCCGAGATCACACCACTGCACTCCAGCCTGGTGACAGGGTGAGACTCCGTTTCAAAACAAAACAAAAAAACTACTAAGAAATGCTATCAAAGAGCTAAAAGTTAGAAGACATGTGTCAATCATTTTTAAATTTTTTAAAAATAAAACATACACAGAAATTATCTGGCAAAGTGCTTTCTCTGAAGGCGGTTTTGGTTTATATAAAAACAGTCAATAAATATTAAAGGAGAAAAAATAAACTGTGAATGCTTCATTGGGATTAAAATGAGTTTTTAAAAGCTGGACACAATGTCTATTGCTGACAGTTCCAACATAAACCAGAATCATTAATTTCATTGACCTTCTCATATGGTTTAATTCGCTCACTTATTCTTTCTTTGTAAAACATTTGGCCACATGTGTTAAATAAATGTTGACGGTCTGATGAAAGGAATAATGGTATACCTTAAAAGAAGAAAAAATCAGTGTTATTTTCAAAATTACCCTGGAGCTAACTTTAGCACAAAGTGAAGAAATTAGTAAAAGGATGCAAAAGGCGATTGTTATTTCCAAGATTTTGAGGCCAGTAACGAAAAATTCAAGATGAATTTGATGTCTTATAGTTTTCTCTGTTTCTCCCAAATATCTGTCTGAGTTTTTAAATGTCATAGTCCACATCTCTCTCCACTCTCATGCTTGAGGATGGGCACCCCACAGTTTCTGAGTTTACAATTTATAATTCTAGCTATAGACAAAGAGACTCACACAGTGTCTGTGAGTCCCAGTCCAGAATTCTCAAGAAACACACTATGATTGGCTCAGCATGAGGCAGCAGCCTATCTCTTGTCTGATTAATTGTGGCCAAAATGACAGTGTCACATAGTATAACAGCACTTAATCCCTGTGGGTTAAGGAGGCAATTTTCAGGAATAATAGGTTATTGTGAAATAGAAAAAAATACTCTAAATGTATTATTCTTGAGGCTAAATACCCAGTGGGTTGGCCTCCACTTTCCAGAAAGCCATGCCCATTCCAAATTATTTCCAATCGAAGACTCTCTTCAATATATTCCCTATGACCATGCTGCACGTAGTGACTTCACTTTTCCCCGCAATCTGAAAACTACTTGAAAATATCTTGGTGTTCTACGTGAGTTATACTGAGTAATGGCAAATTGAAAAAAAAAGCGACTAAATTTTCTTGTTAGGCATTTTGTATTGCCATTTGTTAATCATCCTTTATAGATGTTGATTAATAATGCTATTTATCTTTCACAGGCAAGATTCCAGTTATTTCAGAAGCATAGCAAAAAGACCAAATGATTTAGTTAGTTTAGGGAGTCAATGCAATGAGAAATACAAAAGCAGCCAAGCCAACCGTAGGCTATTATATAGAAAGACCAATAAAAACAACAACAGTTACAAAAATCATCTGATGAGATTTTTTTTTTTTTTTTTCAGAGATGAGTCCGTTTTAATTGCTGGAGAGACAGGGAGGGGCCTTAGAAATAGCTCTCTCCCGCACCCCACGTGTCCTATCCAGTTTAGGCAGGAAGCCACTTTCCCTACAACAGTTCATTGCTGGGATCTCTGAAGAGCTGCTGTGGAGGGCAGCCGCCAGGCGGGGGCACAGGGCCTCAGAGGACACTGATGCGCTCTGTCAGCCCATGCATGTCGTGGTCCTGTGGTGGATAGGCCCCACCGAAATCCCTGTCCGTGGGTGGCCCGGACCCGGGCAGTGGATGCTCTGCCACAAACTGCTCCCAGCTCGCGTCGGCACTCTCGTGCGTGATGTATCGCTCACCCATCTTCCCTTCCAGTTCTCGGAGATCCAGCCACGTCTGGTACTCCTGTAACCAGGGATGGCTGAGAGATTTGTCCACACTGTAGCGTTTGCGCATCTTCACCTGCAGCAGGTTGTTGATGAGGTCGATGGCTCCAGCTGAGATGTGGCTCCAAGGGGTGGCCGGGTACATGAAGGCAGCATTCTGGATCTGGTCATTGATGTCCTCGTCCTCGTTGAAAGGGAACGTGCCACTGAGGCTGACGTACATGATCACGCCCACAGACCACATGTCCAGCGAGCGGTTGTAGCCCTGGTTGAGCAGCACCTCGGGCGCCAGGTAGGCCGGCGTGCCCACCACGGAGCGGCGGAACGACTTCTCCCCGATGATGCGCGCAAAGCCAAAGTCGCACAGCTTCACCTGAGGAAACGGGTCAGCTGATGCCAGCAACACATTGGCCATCTTTAATCGATGAGTTGTACTGATGCAGAGGCAATTAGAGTTAGAATCAGGCCATGTCCCAACATAAATGCTTAGAGGTCTATCACAATTTTCCTACTTTAGCTTTCATGAATCTCTGTATATCTTTTTAAGCTCTTCTTCTTTTGTCCATTGTCTTTATTTCTACCTGGTTTGACCTTCCCAGTTGTAAAAGGAGGTCAAATTAGACTGAACGTTCAGATGACATGGATCTAATTGTATTCTCAGTAAGTAAACTTGATCATGAGTTACATGTCCTTGACAACCACCCCAAGTGTAAATATAAATAATTGGAATAAGGAGCACAATAACCTTCAAACCCATGTCAAGATACAAAAATTAGAGAATATTTGAAAAAACGCCTGTGGGTTTTGGACCATGATTCGAATGTAGCGTTTGGCTTCTGATAAGACTGAAGTTTGAGAACCAAGGGTAATGCATTTTGCTTCTATTCACAGTAATGCCTTTTTAAAAATTGCATTTATATTTGACCTCAGAGGGAACTGATAACAGTTAAATAAGATAATCTCCTTAGGAAAATTTTCATTTCTGAAGAGGAAGCTGAAGAAGAAGAGAATTAACCAAAGGCTCTAAGTACTGTTTGGGGTTACTATGTGATGTTGGGCAGAGACAGAGTGTTTAGAAACAGGAGCTGCTCCAGTTCATATCTGCATTTATATCCACGTGCAAAACTAGCATATCATGTTTTGAAAGGCTTAAAAAGTAAAATTCCTCACTTACAAATACTTATTTTATGTCATATAAGAACAATCTTTTTGTATTGAGGTTTGTAATAGATTGTTCGGTCATGTTTAAATTGCCATTTTAATAGAAATGGCATTTTAATTACTTTATATTGCTTAATTATTCAGTAATTGTTCCTTGAGAACTGAATATGTTGAAACCTAAAATGATATTGGTAAATTGTATGTACATGACAGTCATGTTTGCTTTTCTGCCACTGAGATGCCAAAATGAGGACTTTTTTTTCTAATTTTTCTATTATAGCTGTCTATAACTTCTATTATTAACTATTATAACTGTCCCAGTGGAAGCTGCGACAGTTATCAGTGGACTGCCCCTTAGTTCCAAATCATGCCTTTTTGAGACCTCATCATTCTAGGGCTGAACTCTGTAAACATTTGTCTTTTAGTAGCTAATGAAATGCTTGAACTTTTTGTAGGGGTAGTGGAGGGTCATTGTAAAGCTAAAGCAAATGTAAAATGTCTTTCTACCTGGTTTTGATGTGTTACTGTTTTATAGTCTGTGTGTCTGCCAGAAGTTGTGCCTGCAGAGGACCATGGTGTTCATCTCAGTGAATCTCAAAGACCAGCTCCCGTTTGCCAGCTCTGCCAGCAAGCTTCTCGATCATCTAAGAAGACCATGATTACAAACCAGCTTTACCTCATCCTCACCTGCTTAAGAAATGTTTGTCTCCTGATAATTTACCCTCATAGTCCTCACCTATTCCTTCTAGCAAAGTCTCTGCTTCTGGTAGGTTGTGTATTCCTGTGGTAGCCACACACTACCCCAACAAATTCAGAATCTCAGTCTTAGATGGATAGAGGTAGGGGTAGATGGTTTCCTCCAAAATTCTTAGTCCCTTTTTCAGTCTCAGAGGTAGTGCTTCCTTCCTGCATTTACTACTTCTGCATTCCCGGAGTCCTATTCTACTCCTTTTAATGGTTACCATTTCTACTTGTTCATCATTATCTACATTACATCACCATGTTCACGTTACTGGTGTGCTTTTTACTTTGTGACTGATGAAAATGCATATTGATATTTTAAAAGTCACATTAAAAAAATTAAATTACATCAGTGGTGAACCTTTTACAAGAAAATACCACTAGGTCTCAAAGAAGCAGTGTTTAAAATACCAATTCAATTAAGTGAGGTTTACATGTTTTAATAAATACTGTGTTTTAGGTCTCAGATAACATCACAGAAAGGAAAAGACAGCAATCGGCATGTGTACTCATAATAATACTAAACAATTATAAACTAATAGAAATAATTGTACTAAACACTGCAATAATAGTAATAATGGTGCTACATATTATAAATGAACATGTACTAATAATAGCACTAAACTATTACATTATTAGTTGACTCAATTCAGAAACATTCGATCCATATGAGTTTCGTAAGTGTTGGAAAACTTTGAGAAAGTTTATGTGACTCTAGAAAGAAGTCTGTCTCCCAGTAAGATTCATTTCCACTACTTCTTTATTCACCTCTACTAATGAGAGAACAGTGACTGAAGCAGCTTACAGCAGTTAAGCATGTCTCATGCCATGTAGACAGAGCTCTATCTCTCAGGAAAGTATCCTATATCCTATTAGGCATTCCTAATTCTTTTCTGTTTTGGGTTTGAGTTATATCACTTCACAGATCATTACTGTCTTTTACAATTATTTTAGGCAACCTTAAAACATTGATGGTTTCCCATGAACTGTAGAGCATGCCAAGTCCCAGAGCACTGGGAAAAACATGGAGAGCTTGACTGATAAAACCCATCTTCCTTCCCCAAAGCAGAAGACACTCAAGTCACCTCTAACAAATCAGTGGAAATCCTAATGTTAATAGTAAGAAAGGAGAGTTCTCAGGATTTGTCTCCTCCCAACATCATTCCAACTCCCCTTAGCTCCCTGTACTGTGTGCTACCCTACAATATCTCAGAATTTCTACCACCTATATTGTAATGGAAATTGGGTAATCTATGATGGTCCACAACAGTTGTCTCTCTTATATCCTATGTACCTCAAGATCAGATGGTAGAAATAGTGTACTCATAACTCTCCAATGCTTTTTCCATGTAGTTACTCTCCTAGCTTTATAAATCCTGCTCCTGTGAGTTAATCATGCATACTATACTACTCCTTCTCCTTAGTGTGGCAGTCTCCAAATTTACAAACCATTAGTCTTCAGTGTAGCCTTCTAAATCTACACTTCTCAACCTAAATCATGTTATTATTCTAACATATTAATGTGCATCAAAAGGATCATTCCAAAACATGCTAGCAAATCAGACTTTACAGCTCTTTATCACCAATAAGTTTATTGTATCAGTCTGTTTTCATACTGCTAAAAAGATGCTACCTGAGACTGAGTAATTTTTAAAAGAAAAAGGTTTAATTGACTCACAGATCCACATGACTGGGGAAGCCTCAAGAAACTTGCAATCATTGCCAAAAGTGAAGGAGAAACAAACTTGGACCTTCTCACCAGCAGCAGGAGAGAGGAGTGCAAGCAGGGGAAAAGACAGATGCTTATAAAACCATCAGCTCTCATAACTCATTCACTATCATGAGAAAAGCATGAGGGGAACCACCCCCATAATCAAATTACTTCCTATCAAGTCTCTGCCTAAACACCTGTGGACTGCAATTCAAGATAAGATTTGGGTGGGGACACAAAGCCCAAGCATATCATTCCACACTTGACACCTCCCAAATCCCATGTCTTTATATTTGACAACCAACCATGTGTGCCCCACAGTCCTCCAAAGTCTTACTTGTTTCAGCATTAACTCGAATGTCCAAGTTGAAAGTCTCATCTGAGACAAAACAAGTGCCTTCCACCTAGGAGTCTGTAAAATCAAAAGCAAGTTAGTTACTCCCAAGACACAATGCGGGTACAGGCATTGGCTAAATGCTCCCATTCCAAATGGAAGAAATTGGCCAAAACAGAGTCTCTACAGGACCCATGCAAGTCTGAAATCCAGTATGGTAGTCATTAAATCTTAAAACTCTGAAATAATCTCCTTGACTGCATGTCTCATATCCAGGCATGCTGATGCAAAGAATGGGCTCCTGTGGCCTTAAGAAGCTCTGCCTCTGTGGCTTTGCAGTTTACAGCTCCTTCCCCTGGCTGCTTTCATGACTGGTGTTGAGTACCTGCAGCTTTCCCAGGCAAATAATGTAAGCTGTCAGTGAATATGCCATTCTGGAGTCTGAAGTATGGTGGCTTTCTTCTCACAGCTCTACTAGGCAGTACCCCAGTGAGGAACCTGTGTGGGGGTGCCAACCCTACATTTACCCTTTGTGCTGCTCTAGCAGAGGTTTTCCATAAGCCTTCCCCCCACCCCGCCCTACCCCATAGCAGACTTCTGCCTAAATGTCCAGGCATTTCCATACATCCTCTGAAATCCTGGCAAAGGATCTTAATCCTCAGTTCTTGACTTCTGCATACCTGCAGTCCCAACACCATGTGGAAGCCACCAAGGCTTGTGGCTTGCACCCTCTGAAGGAACAACCTGAACTGTATGTTAGCCCCTTTTAGCCATGGCTGGGATGCAGGGCACCAAGTCCTGAAACTGCACAGAACATGAGCAGGGCCCTGGGCCTGGGAAACCATTTTTCCCTCCTAGGCGTTCAGGTCTGTGATGAGAGGGGTTGTTATGAAAGTCTCTGATACACCCTGGAGACATTTCCCTATTGTCTTGGTTATTAACATTTGGTGCTTCCTTACTTTTCCAAATTTCTATAGTCAGCTTGAGTGTCTCCCCAGAAGATAGGTTTTCCTTCTCAATCATACGATCAGGCTGCAAATTTTCCAAACTTTTATGTTCTGCTTCCCTTTTAAACCTAAGTTCCAATTTCAAAAAATTTCTCTCAAATGCAAAATTCCACAGATCTCTAGGGCAAGGGGAAAATGTCACCAGTCTCTTTGCTAAAGCATAACAAGAGTGACCTTTGCTCCAGTTCCCAGTGTTTCTCATCTCCATCTGAGACCACCTCAGCCTGTACATCACGGTTCACATCACTGTCAGCATTTTGATCAAAATCATTCAACAAGCCTCTAGAAAATTCCAAACTTTCCTACATCTTCTTCTGAGCCCTCCAAACTGTTCCAACCTCACCCTGTTACTTAGTTCCAATGTTGCTAGTACCTCATTTTTGGGTATCTTTACTGCATTACTCCACTCTACGTATATCAGTATACTGTATTAGTCTATTTTCATACTGCTATAAAGATACTACCAGATACTTGATAATATACAAAGGAAAGAAGTTTAATTGACACACAGTTCTGCATGACTGGGGAGGACTCAGGAAACTTACAGTCATGGCAGATAGCAAAGGGGAAGCAAGTTTGGACCTTCTCACATGGCAGAAGAGAGGAGTACAAGCAGGGGAAATGCCAGATGCTTATAAAACCATCAGACCTCCTGAGAACTCACTTACTATAATGAGAACAGCATGAGGGAAACCACCTCCATAATCTAACCACTTGCCTAAACACCTGGGGATTACAATTCAAGAAGAGATTTGGCTTGAGGTTTGGGTGGAGATGCAACGCCTAACTATATCATTTATTCTCCAATATTTCTATGCCACCTGATCTTATAGTGTCCCATTTCTCAAATAAATTTCATGTCCAAAATTGTTAACTTCGACATGTCATATTCTAGCCACAATCTCTGCTCTTTCCATTTTCTGGCTCTTAGACATCAACAGACCATTAGTATATGATATAAAGTCTGTGTTATCTTCTCTATATTTCTTCCACATCCAGCATTAATTCTAAACAATAAGACTCATTTCAATCACAATCTCAAAAATACTCAGATTGCTCTGCAGCACTTCCTTCCCACTGAAACTTTATGGCAAATCTATATCCACAGTGACCCCCAACAAAAAGCTTTGTTTATGACTATACCCAGGTTGATAGATATTTCTGGAGGAAAAAAAAAGTCTCACATATCTCAGAAGTTTTTAATAATTTCTGGTTTTCAGTCTCATAAGGAACCTCAATATTCCACAGAAAGATCACAATGTTTCTCCAGTAAGGCAGCTTGCTGTAAACTCTGACCTCCTTCATGCTCAGAATGCTACCTTTCCCCTGCTTCACTGATAAAAATAGAAGTTTGTATCAAATACAAATGTGGTCGCCTTTCTCTCCCCAGTAAACAGAATTTTATGTACTATACTGTAAACATTCTCCTTTTTTCCTGATGTTATAATCTGAGGGAAAAAAGTCTTCTCTTTTAATGTTTATGTCTCTACATCAGCTTTGGTGTCATATTACTTTGGAATTTTTAGGATTCATTGTTATCAATTATCTTTTCTGTCTCTCAGAAACATCTGCAGTCTACCAGATTCTTCCCATTCAAATTTAAATGTGCTTTTGTCAGATTTTTCATAATATAACATTACATTATAATAATGTGAAATACTTTTTTTAAAAATGCCAGTGCTCTGGCTCTACACCCAGAGATTCTGGTTTAATTGGCTAGCCAGAGGTCTTGAACATTTAAAAAATATACACCCTAGATGATTCTAATGCGTAGGGTTGAAAAACTTTGCTTTAGTCTCTTGGGTAATTAAAAGTATTTATCCCAGGACCACCCATCTCCTCCAGATTCCACAATGTCTTTTCTCTTCACAGCAGAATATCTCAAAGAGTAATTTACACTGACTGTCTGAATGTCCATCTTCATTATTGACTTATCCACACTCCTTGCCAAGCACAAAATTGCCAGCATTTAACTAAATCCAACACATACATTCAGTTCTTATTTTATTTAACTTCTCAGCATTTGACAAATGACAATTTGATATTTTAAAAACACTCCATTTTCTTCATTTTTCTCTCATCTGGTTTCACTTACCATACCAGAGATAGCTTTTGTAACTCTTATTCTTGTTTCATGTATATACAATGATTGTGTATTGAAATTCATAACTT